CAAGTTTTTAGCGGATTTGGTGACTTAGGCAATTTAAAAATGAGCTCGGTGCCGAAATTTCTGGAGTCCAAACGGCATTGCCCGCGGTTGCACACGCCGCAATTTCACGACGCCTAATCCAGCTGTCTGCTCCCTCCTGCTTTTCCATACTCTCTAGTGCTGGACGTTCGTGGACGCTGGCGTCCGCTGGATCGATATCTATACTTTCCTAGTCGCTGGTGGACACTGGTGAGCGTTGCCGTACGTCAGACCGAATCTATACTTTCCTAGTCGCTGCCGCTGACGGACGCTCGAAACGCTGACGGTCGCTGCTGGACGCTGCCGCGAGGTAAGCACACATCCTTACTCGGCAATTCCGAATCCCATCCACTGAGGCTCATACGCGATAGCGTGAGGAGAAGTGGAAGGGTACGGAGAATCTCAGTCATCGCCCCTGTGATTCCCTCCATGGTGCCCGCTCCTCTTTGGTGAGTAGGTAAAGCGAGGGTGCACCACAGCGGAAATCACAAATGGTTGGGAAGCTCCGCCCCCAGTTACCGTGGAATGTGCATTTGTTGCACGTGTTTGAATCTTTTCCGTTGGACCTCTGAATAATTTCCAATAAAAGGGAAGTGCTTACCAATTTGCCGATGCCTTGGACTACCTCGACGTTGCCCGATTGTGTGTTCAGCAATAACGTGAGACAGTCGCTCAGAGCCAATTCAACGTAACCACGGAACATTCCACCACCCGTTTCTGCGATCAGGGAAAGTGCAACCATTGCCCAAGCCTGGAAAACGCAACACATAAGGGATGTAGGTGAAGTCTAAGCAGACCACTGCCTGACTTACCTGCACAGAGGGCGCGTTATGGTCCCGCGCCAAAGCGAAAAGAATGGAAACACCCGTGTGCAAATGTTGTCCGCTGCCGAGACTACCCACATGCCGATGTATACAGCCAAGTGCAAGAGCGTATCCTGCCCGACGGCCATCACGGAACACACGCAGCTTATCGAAACATGCCTGCGCTCGCAGAGCAACAAACTAAAAAGAGAACTTTCTTGATAAATCCCATAAGCAGTCACCAAGCAGCCCTCTCAGGGGAAAACTCACCTGTGGATCTCCAACGGCTTGCGAGAGACGACCAAGTGCTTCAGCCGCAACGGCACGCACTAGTGGGGTCGTGCCAGTTTCCAAAGCTGACTCCACCAGAGCTGTGCTGGCCTTCCTTAACGGTTCGCTCTCCAGACGTGCACCACCTCTTGATTCAGTGACTCCTCGGAACGCCAGAGCTAGGGCACACAGCACGTTCACCAGAATCTGAACATAAGTGGTGAGGAGCGTAAAAAAAGCTGATGACACCCATTTTCGATTACTTGGACCAGAATCTCGTTTTGACCATAATCCATCACATATTCCCTAGACACGAATACATTTAGCACAAAACTGCCAGGCGCCCCGTTACAGATGTCAACTTCAAGACTCCTCCCCCAGATCGGCAAAAATTCGTTGGAAACTTCCACTGATGGTACGATAGTTTGATTCCCTGAATATGAACATCGCATCGGTTCAGCAGCTAGAACACCTGAGCCGGCTCCACAGCCGTCCGCGCCCCAGGTGGTATTGACTGCGCTGTCACCGCCGCGCAGTTCCGCATCAAATGGATGCCGTACAAGTGGTCAGAAGATGAATCCACCTTCGGAGACCAATATCTAGCCAAATCTATCCAATGGCACAAAATGCCTAAAACCTGACGCAATTTTTGAAAATTGGAGCCATTAAGGGTGAGTAGAGTTAGAAAAACAGGAACAGTTCGGCTTCGTGGGGGCACATGATGTTACTCCGGTGAGCTTGTATAGCTGCCTCGTGAAAACCTGCAAATTCTTGTGGAACAATGAGGCTTACTACCAGAATTTCCCTACTGCACTGGACTGAACAGGTCTCGCCAAAATGAGACCTTTCGCTCAAAATGAACTAACAGAAGGAGCTAGCGAAAGTGCAAAGCGCCCCCTCCAAGCCGAGCAGCACTGGAGGGCGTTCACTTGAACAATAATCATCCAACATACCGCTTGCTGTCGTTGAGCTTGTTTGCAATTCTTGATCACCTCGGCGAAATGTTCCGTTATTTGAAGCTTCTGACGTTCGGGTATCATCGGGAATGCCTATAACACAAAACACTGCGGTATATTGTTACTCGGAGTATGCTAGACGGGAGACAAAAGGAGCACGACGCGTCGCAGCCGCTCGCGTCCGGTACTGACTTTCTAATGTCTTGAGCTAATGCACAAACACTTAGTATTATGAAGGAAATAAGTGGTGCCTTACCCTTCCGAAAGCATATATTGCCGCATCTAGACAAGCCACCTGAGGTGTGTCAGGTTCTGGCCAAAGATTGTGCACGTCCTTTGCCGAGCCACTGAAATCCGAACAAGACACATGGGCAGGGAATCAATATTTATAAAAAGCATTTAACTAATTTTATTTGCAAAAATCGATATAAAATCGATCACTAACCTGACCAAGCACGTAATGTCGTTCTCCAGTGCTCCACTTCCCATGTGGGACAGGGTTTGTAGCTGAACAACCAGCAATTTGAACTCTGGCACTTCGTAAATCCCAACATTAAGTTCAGTGAAAATGCCGCTTACCTGGTCCTCAACTAGGGCCTGGTCGGTAGCTCCACCACTCCATGGGGCCAATAACGTGTGCTCAGCTCCCGAGCACATAACGCCTGCTACTGACGACATCACTTGGGAAGCTTGATCATCCGATAGCGTCACCTCAGCGACAAGTTCTCGTAGCAACGAATGGAACATATCTGAAGAAAGGGGGTAAAAGTAGAAGGAAAAGTAGTAGAGATCCACTGAAGAGCATTAAATTGTAGAAGAAAAGGAAAAGAAGAAAAATACAGTATCCGAAACTGCGCGTAAAATTCAGTGCATAGGAGCAACGAGTGCACACAGTACCCTCAGTTCTTACCTAGGCAGCACCTAGCTACAGGTGGAAAGGGGAATTAACATTGCTCTCACTTGCTGGCTTTACCACGAAGCTGCCAGGAGGGGTGAAGCCAGAGAGAGAAGAGGTGGAGGGAGGGGCGGTTGAGGAGGGGTGATGCATCTCCTGAATTTGTGATCTTTCACAAGCCTTTCCCGTCCGTCAATGCAAACTTAAACCTCAGCCCACGTTCATATTTCGCGCCGCGAGCGATTCATTCGCTTAGTATGAGAAATGCCGGACGGACCGCGCTCTAGCGCTAATTGTTGGACTACTACAAGCGGTCGATTAGCGGTGGAGCGCGATCGTTGGAAGTCGCGAGATCCCTTAATCGCGCGACTTCTATCAACCGCGAGTCGCGAAGTATAAACGCCAGCCCTAAAACCGAGAGCAACTCTTGTAACTCACGTTCGTAGCTCTTCGGTGGTAACAGCATTAACAGCTGATAGACGCGTACACGTACACAACTGATCAACGCTCGCATTTTTGTCCCATACGATCGGATCAATGTGCCCACCCTATAAATTCAGCTCGTTAAAAATGTTAAAAATCGCCGATAAGCATCCAGATTGAGAAGAAAAAAACTGAGAAACAGCATAAAAACTGACTGCGAACTCATCACCAGAGCACATTCGATCGGAAGAAGCATCGCCTTGATGGCATCGTCATCAGCCAACTCTCGCTGATTTGCCACCGCCAGCATCACTCCCAGTGCACCTGATCGCTGCTCCAAGGCGCACTGCCAAGAGAATGCATCTCCTGTAAGCAAGCTAATACATAGGGTGTTGATAAACACAATTCTCCATTGCTTTGGCCAGAAATTCTGAGGAAAAAATAGGCTAAAAAATGTAGGTCTGAGTCAGCATGGTAGAAGGCGCAATCAGTGTATTGGTGAAAGCACGAGTCACCGCGTTCACCTTCTGCTTTTTTGCTCCACTCCTTAAAATCTAAAGGTGGTCAGACGAAGAAGAAATGGGGCAAAGAGGCAGTTGTCCTCTGTCTTCGCTCAAACTATCACTGAACTGATCCTCGAGTATGGAAACCAACACTAATCTACGTAGCGTCCCATTTATCTTACAGCAGCAAGCCGCTTCTGCTATGTAGGAGCCCAACTCTAAGTGGTTTGAGCAGTGGGCGGTTCCACTTGCAGTGGGCGAGGCCAGTGGAGCGATAGCGGCTCTCAGCACCCTTGTTTCGCAACTCTGAACCGGATAACGGCAGACGGTTCGCGGCTGCAGGTCAACCCTCCCCCCCCAGGGTTTTATCTGTTCAAAACTGTCGAATGTGTCTCTAATTAGAGAAGAAGACTGGGGGCCCTTAACTTGAGAAATGATCAGTTCACTAATTGTAAGCGGCAAAAAATAATAGTTTTCGTGAAGCAATGCCGATTATACAGGGAGCCCTTGTTGCACACCCCTAGCCAACTATTTTAACAGCATTGTAGTAGTGTTTTGATCACAGAACGAATGGTGTGCTGAAGTAACCACTCTTTCAGCTTTGAGCTTCTAACGCACCTCTTCCTTTCTCAGCTTCAGCTTCTTTTGTGCTTCGCGGAAAAGCTGTTCGCCAAAGCTGGATAATACGAGGCATGTTTTCCTTCACGACCGGGGATCCTATAATAGGCACACACTTCAAACAGGTGAACCGCATATTGATGAATATTAAAGAAATATCCTGGCATACCCATTGAAACAACAGCATTCAGCAAAATATAACCAGCGCTAATCTTAGCAACAGCAAGTCGGCTTTGCTGAGTGGCAGTCTTAAGCATGTCTTCCGCACATGTCAACACCTAGAAATTCACTTTTCCAACCTTCTGTGGGGCAAATGAGAGGCAAAACGGCTTCATACATACCTGTTTGGGCTTTGCATGGGGGATTCCGAGTTTACAGTCGGAGGCCGCTGCGATGAGAGCTGCCAGAGCCAGTGAGTAACCACTGATGGCGTCACTGCATGATTTCATATGCTCTAACCTGCAGGTAGAAGATTGGAAGAGAAAAATCGTGTTTGTCCCTTGATGATTCCTACCTGCTGATACATCTGTCAATCAACGGAGTGAGCTGGCTTGGCACTGCCATCGTGACACATCGCAAGCACCATGCAGTTGCAGTGCGAGCCGATAGAATCGGATGAAGAAGGCATGCAAATACGTGCTCCATGATGCCTGAAACAGGTTAACCTCAAGGGTAAAACCCACGACGTGGTAAGAGGGGGAGGGGTTAAAACATCAAGACGTAGGCAGGAAGTAACGAAACAAAAAAACGTTGAAAACGTTTTGAGCAAGACCCTCCTTTCTGCAGTTCGTTATGAGGAATACGTGAGGTGAAGAAACACCGAGCCCTTGGACGAGTGCCAAAGAGAACAGGAGAATGGGGAAGGGGCAGAGAATACATGAACCCAGTGCACAGTTGCTTCCAGCAACACGCGCGGTGAGCTGTTCTGCCATAAAGGGACGTAGAACGTTTAGAACAACAACCGTCTAAACCGGCCGTATCCTCCTGCTGACAAAATTTTCCGAAACGGCGTTCTCTAAAAAAGCCTGCCTATGCCGCTCTAGGCACGAAAACGCGTATGAACAGGAGTGAGTGTTGCAAGAGCGGGGGGGAAGGGGCATTTTGTTTATTCGCTTCTTTTTTGGAATATAGCTCAGGCCACTGCAATCGAGAAATTCTAAACTTCCCCAAGGAAGGCCGCCGGAATCTTAAGGAACCCATAAAGAAATATACAACACTAAATGCTCAAAAACGAAATACAACATTAAAATATTAAAATCAATACAATAATTAAATAATCCTACAACAGTAACCAACCTGACGCCTCAACAAACAATGGTGTTACAGCAGTTCCAATTTGCCGTACGAGATTCGACAATTCAAGTGTGGCCACGACCGCCGCTTGGGCACTCGCATACGCTTCCGCGCCCAGTATTCGTTCCACTGTTGGTTCAATCGAATAGTCTTAAACATTGGACAACCCAGCATAAGAAGCGGAAAAGCTCCGAAAAACTCATGTAGAAAAAGAGGCGCAGTTCGGCTTGGTGGGAGCACAGGATGGCACTCAACTTAGTCTTACAGGCCTGAAGAGACCTGCAAATTCCTGTCACCAAAGTGATTCATACCAAATCTCAGCTTCACAGGAGTTTACAGGTCGCACCAAAGCGAGACCTGTTATTCAACGTAAACCAACAAAAGCAACTAGCTAGAGCGCAAGATGCCCCCTACAAGCCGCATACCGTCAAAAGAAAAATACAAAAAAAGCCTAAAAAAGTTCATGATCACCGAAAGAGTTGATGTAGTCGGCTAAAAGTTGTCCAAGGTACTTGCACGCTGTGATTTGAGCCTGTTCGCTAAGCATTGTGCCAACGGTTGCTCGAAGAATGTAGGAAATACATCGACGAAGGAATATAGCTTCTGCTGCTTGGGCAGGAGAGCTGTAAAGATGAATGAAGTTTAAAGACACATGGTACGCTCAAACACATTGAGGGTGTATGAGACTATCAGCCCCCAGCTGTCGATGTGTCGTGGTCCCCCCGCCCAAAACTGCACGGGGTCAGAGTACGGGACCGTGGGAAAGTCGTAATTCCTTGCTACGCCGCCCGTTTTTGCAAACTCACGTTTTTACTAACACCGTCCGCGCGGCGCGGTCGCGTGCAGCTCTCTTGGCTTTTTGCCAAGTCCTGTAATTGCGCTTTGGAATACAAGTACAACGCAATTTCTTTATGCGGATAACTTAGGTTCTGCAAAATAAGAACTGAAGATGATGACGAGGGCTAGAACTCAAGAGCAACTGTGCTGCTTCTGCAACAGCCCTCGCAGGCCGCGCATTCCCACAAAACATCAAAATAAAAACGGCCTAAGCGTCCCACTCGTTAGTTTGAAGTATTTCTATAGCATTAGAGCCGGATTCGAGCCGGATCGCAGAAATGCACACGCGATTTTAATATTGCGTTTCCTTAGTTTTTTCAATTGTTTTTATTTACATCTACATTCGTTGTTTCTTCATTCCAGCCTTTGCCATATTTCTACCTTCTATTCGGTACTTGAAACAAATGAGCTGACCTCAACGTGTTAGGACATTTGCATGTGCTTGTGTTGTCATTCTTTGCTTTTCTTTTGTCATGTTCTGTAGGAATGCGCGGCCTGTGAGTGATGTTGAGGTCCTAGGAACACTACAGTTGCTTTTGGTTCTAGCCCTTGCATCATATCGGCTACTCTACCTTTGCAGGCACCTCGTTAGCGTTGCCTTGCCATAAGTTCTTATACACGTGTTTGATCCTCTCCTATTTCGTTCGCATGGATGTTGGTATTACGTCATCACGTGTGCATGACGTGTACATTATACTCTTTCATTACACTAGCTATCACTCACCGAGCTTGCATTTGCAGTACACAATGTCGCACAATTTGCACTGTGACAAAACGTACCTGCGCCACTGTTTGGTTTTGCTCCACGATCGCCGAAATTCAAGAAAGAAGACTTTTCGTCTTAAGATGCCCTCAGGTCCGGCGTCGGTCCGATGGAGTCGATTTGCGAAGTACTACGTTCCACGTGAACAGGGACCCGTACGCCTCACCGACTCAGTTTGAAATGGCGACCATGCTTAGCTATGATCATTCGACGGTTGCACGTGGACTAGAAAAGCTCGGCAAGGTAGCAAAGCTTGGTCGATGGATGAACTGTCCGCTTATGACCTCTCGGGGAGGGTGACCACCTGCACTTCTCTCCTCACTTTCCAAAAGAGGCTTCACTTTCTCAACTCGATGATCACTGGAGATGAGAAGTGGGTCCTCTACGATAACCCTGTGAGGAAGCGGCAGTGGGTCGACAAAGGAGAACAGCCAGAAGCCACCCCAAAGGCCGACCTTCACCCCAAAAAGTTCTCCTGTCCTGTTGGTGGTCCAGAAGAGGCATGGAGTACTGGGAGCTGCTGGAGAAGGGACAGCAGCATGACGCTGTTTCCTCACATACGTGACCCAACTGGCGGAAATTGCAAACATCACGTTCGACCGGGGATTCCGTGGAAGGGAATGCGGAAATCTACTTCCACCATGACAACGCCCGACCTCACACTGCAAAGGCGACCCAGGCCGAGCTGGAGAAGTACGGATGGCTGATGTCGTCGCCCACCCCTCCCTACAAAGCCCTGGCCTCGCTGCCTCTGACGACTGGGTCACCACGGCAGCGCTACTGGGACCGGCAAAAAAGTTCGAAACAAAGGCATCAGGTCAGAAAGCGGCGCTCCGAACGACTTCTCAACGCCCGAGCTCCGTCGTTCTCGAAAGCCGATGGAATCGACAAGCCTGCCTAGCGCTGGCGGCCGAGTACGTGAATGTGATGGAGCTACCTTAAGGCTCCCAGGCCTGCTTCGTTTTGAGATATTTACAAAAAAGTCGTGTATAAGAACTTATGCGACAACCTAATAAAATGTTATCCGCACAAAGAAATTGCGTTCTACTTGTATTCCAAAGCGCAATTTTTTCAAGGAATGGCAAAAGCCCAAAGAGCAGCTGCCACCGCGACCGCCGCCGCGCGGATGGTGTTAGCATAAACGTGAGGGCGGTGTAGCAAGGAATTACGACTTTCCCACGGCCCCGTACTCTGACCCCGTGCAGTTTTGGGCGGGACCGGACCACGACACATCGACAGCTGGGGGCTGATAGTCTCATACACCCTCAATATGTTTGGGCGTACCATGTGTCTTTAAGCTTCCTCCTGACCACATAATCTTAGTAATCGTAGCATTTAGAGCCATTTAATGGCTTAGACAACCACAATAGCTGAAGTTTGGATTGTACACTTACTTTGTGTATGCCAAGAGTGCCACATTTCGCCGCAACTTCCAATAGATGGCGACAAATTGCTGCGAGATTTCGCTCCAACCAGATTGCTCCCATCTCTCGCATGAGCTCGACATAGCCCTAAACGATTTTTGTTATTCTAAATTTTCCTCGACATCGCAGAGGACAGGCTGTTAGAGTCAGTTCCCTTACTCTAGAGGAATATGAAAATAAACGTGTTAACAGGGCACGTCCTGCCGCTTGGGGAATTTTTTGGAAAAAAATGACCACCTTCTCCCTACAACGAGCTTATTAACTACCAAAAAATTTTCTCAGACCGACTACGACCCCCGCCCCCTTTTCCAGCGACCAACCCCCACTGCGGATTCCCCAACGTATGACGTGGTCTGCTTGTAAAACACACTAAGCTATTGGCGCAATTGTACTTCAGAGGAGCCACGAGGCAGCGTGACGAGTTTCGCTCCTCCGCACCTCGAGACGAGGCTGCGCAGAACACCAATCGTCCTGACCCTTCCCATGCAAGGAGAGGAGAAGAGATGGCTTGGTCGCGCCGCTGCGTTACCCCACTCCCCCCTTAACTGCCCTTCAACTGCAGCAGCTCCGTGCCAGACCTCATAATGGATAGGACCGCGATTCAAAAAAAAAATCATGGGGCACCTAATGGCATGCCAAATTACATCCCTAAAAAATCAACCTTGAACGTGGACGCCACGAGCCGTGATGTATTCCATATGCCGTGCACGTGTGTGGTTAGGATGATGTTAGAAGACACAGTCTACGCTAGTCATATGGGCGGAGTCGGACGCACTGTTATGCGCTCTGGTGCGCTTCAGAGTGACACGAAACAGCTGCTATTGGAACGACACAATAGGTATGCCTTACCCTGCCCACACAGTCAGCATGCATAAAGCTCGTTACTGGGTGGTCCCCTAGGTTTCTTTCGGATAGCCCAGTCTATATGAATGGCACGACCCTGTTCAGAAGCATAAAAACTCAATCATTCAAACATTGAAACTGGAAGAACAGCATACCATTGCAATTCCAGCTCGAACATCTTTTTGACCTCCTGCTGTAGCTGAGCTGTAGCTGGAGCTACCTTTTAGAAATCCTCCAATACCGCCTCGAAGAAAGCTAGCAGCCAGCAAATGCAACGCATCGTCCAACGGTATCGGTCGAATCGGTACTGTTCGCGTGTTCGTGGTTGTTTTTCCCACGGCTAAAACTCATTTTTATCATCTCATAGCATACAATGGAGGCGCAATTTGGCTTGATGGGGCATCAAATGATACTGAGCAAAGCTTGTTCGGGTCACTTTGTGAGGAACTGTAGAATCTGTGTTAAAGCGGTGCAATTGTACTATTTCGTAAATTCACGAGAGTTCACACGTCTCGCTTAAGCGTGACCCGTTGATCTATAAGAACTAAAGGAATTAGCGATAGTGCAAGTGCCCCTCCCAAGCCGAACAGCACCTACAGAAAATTAGAACCGTTTCTATAAACAAATGCTAAAGATCTTCAAAAATGCGAAAACAACAGCCGAGGTGGATCTGTCAAAAGAAGCACTCACATCGCTTCACTGGACCAATATTTTTCATTTTCAAATGAGAAAACACAGCACCAATTTTACGTAAGCCACGATATTGAACACGGTTCTTCCCTGGATATGGATGAGAAAAAACTTTCGCAGTTGCATATCTCCATATTTGTCCAGTTCGCGTCCATATTTCGACGTTGGAGAGGGTGTGTCCACGGACTGATGTATGCAGTGGCGACTGACAAGTAGGGGTTCCGGTGGAAGAGTGGACGGCGTGAGCACAAAAGAGCTCAGGCGGCACAAGAAAATTTCGGTGTACCTCTCACCTCTCTCTGCTCAAACTGACAACGTCAGTCCCATCAAGGTCGACCTCACAACAGCGGTGGGGGAGACCCTCCCCCTCCAGCGCCAAGGTATGAACTGCACCGAAGTCTCTCAGGAAAGTATCAAGTATCAATTTTCTCCTTTATGCCAATCTGCTTCCGTCATTCTTACTAGGAGCTCATTCAATCACAAAAAAACGAGCTAGTCAGCTTCAGCTGTGGAAAAGGACGCATCTTCGAACTTTTAGCCATAAAAAATTTCAAGCGGAAGAAGCACATTAATAAGGGTCCCAGTTTTTCACGAGATTTTGTGAACACTGATCCCATGAGGACTGTCATTACGGAACATCCATTAGGAATAATCTTCTACATCAAGGCTCCAGTCAGGTCTCCGAATAAATAAAAATGCTTTAATGACGCCAACTTTTGTTTTTCTCAGCGCTCTCACTTCTACATGCCGTCTGACTTTTCACATTCCGACTTCAAGCAGAATAAGTGGCTCACACAAACTGGTATCCATTCCCTATGGGAAAAATTATCCTCTTGGCTGGCGACACCTTTTTTGAACCTCTCGATGCCCTGACAGCCGCAGTGTGTTACTTCTCCGCTCTTTGGCTTTCGCAACAGGACCTCCACCGAAAGTTTTATCACGTAACTCTCCAAATTTTTGGCAGCTGTTCACAAAGTTTGGGGGAGGGGAATCCTCATGCAGATACGACCCCCCACCTCGATTCTGAGGATACGAGCAAATACGATCTCCGGTGAGGGCATCCTCCATTGTATGCGTAGTGCGCGTAAAAAAATGAAAAATACCGAAAAAAATTTTCTTGTGCCAAATGCGACCCCAGGAATTCTCACTGGGATTTCCCTGTAAACGAATCCCTGTCTGTGATACACATTCGTCCTAACCGCGTCGCCGCACCATGTATTTCCCAGCAGGATTCAGTGCTCAAAAACCAGAAACTCAGTTTTTTTAGGTGCCTCGAAAGTTCGCGACAATTCTTGGAATTTCGCGCCAAATCCTTTCGTAGTGATTTCAAAGTCCACACTCATAAGGGATGGAAAAGGTAGTGCGTAAGTAATCCACAGTAGATTCAGCGGCCACCGCAGCCTTCCGCGATAACCGGATGGGCGGGGACTCGTGACCACTAGTATATACTTATTGACGCGTTCAGTCTTTACTGTAGTAGAGAGAAGGCACGCTAATGAAGAAAGCGCAACGTATGGGTCTCCTCTCATTCCTGAGCTCATCCGCTTAGCTTGGAATGTGTCATTAAGTCCAAAATTCTCTAGGTGCCACTGACAGAAAAATGCAAAATTGTTGAAAAAAAAACTCGAAACGAACACATTGGTGGTGGAGGTTGAAGTGCTGTGGCTATTAGCACAGCTAGTAGCCGCGCTGCCGCAAGTCGTGTTTCATAGTTGGATCCATCCAACGCTTTTGTACATAAAGTGACCACTGCTTCAAGCTCTGTCGAGTAAAGTGGAGGATAGACTGGTACCAGTGCCGTCACACACTAAATATGAAAAAATACAGTAACTCAACGAAGATCCGGTTGAAAAATCCATGACGAACCTGTAACGCGGCAGCACGTACTGGCATCACCCGATCAGCCAAATGAGCCTTAGCAGCTTTGTAGACATCTTTGTGGAAACTAGCAGCACCAGAGCCAAGCCCAGTGACCATACTTGACAACGT